GTTTTCATATACAGTATATATATTTTTTGATCTGTTCAAGTTAATCTTTAAATAAAATATAAATAATATTTTTTTAATAATATATAGTTTTTTTTTTGACAAGCCCAATTTACAATAAAAAATTGTGTACTAAAATCAAAAAAGTTATAGCGTTTTAAAAAATGCAACCCTGTGATTCTAAATTGCTTATTGATCGCATATTTCAGAAACAACGTTAAAATTAGCTGAAAATCGAAAAATCACCTAATTTTGCAAAGCACAATATTACATGTTTGTAAAGAAATAATATATTAAATATTTTATATTAAGTGGTTTTCATAAAAATATACTGTTAGACGAAACTTACAGGTTTCATATTTCATTAATGGTTTTACCTATAAACTATTTCATAAATAAAATATAAAACCTTTATTTATAAACACTACTTTTTAGTATTTAATTTTTCTAAAAAAGCAATTGCCTTTGGTTGATTTTTCAAAGCAGCCAATTGAATACATTCCTTAGCTTTTATTTCATTAACTGGTACTCCAAATCTTCCATTCAGATAAATATCACCTAAATTATAAAGAGCTGTAGCATTTCCATTATCGGCAGCTAATGTCATGTAATTAACTATTTCAGAAACATTTTTTGAACCATTCTCTAACAATGTGAAAGCATATCGTAACTGAGCATCCACAACACCATTGTCAGCTGCATCTTTAAAGAGTTTAATAGCAGCATCAACATCTTTTTTAACATGTAATCCATTTAATAAATAATACCCTTTCCAATACTTTGCATGATTGTTTCCAAAACTTGCATAAGTAGAAAAACATTCCCAGGCAACATCGAATTTTTTTGCTTGATGTGCTTTATGTCCATCTTCAAATGGTTTTAAAGTATGTATAGTAGGAATAGTTGAAATATTGTCTATGGTAAGTTCTTCACAATCTTCAGGCAAACTAAAGGTATTTTCGCTATTATTTTTGCTGTGAATACTATTTGATCTTTGATTGCTCGTTGCTGATGGAAGAGTAAACCCAGGGACAGGAATATCATCATTTTCACCTTTAGGACATACTTTTGGAGAAGTACCATTAGGAACATAGCGTTCATAAAGATCCTTAAGTTCTGATAGCATTTCCGTAACCTTTGGACGCTGAGAAGGTTCATGATTCCAAGCTTAAAAAGATAATCTTGGTTGATTAAATGCTAACATAAATTTTAAAGTATAATGACAACAAATACCTTTCTTAATTATTTTAGCAAGTATTTGAGGAATTGGGTGAGGGTAAATAAATATTTCCATCGTTTCCCGTTTTTGACTCATGACATGATTTTGAATTACAGCTACAGTTTCCATACTCTTATAAGGAATTCTTTGATGACAAAGTTCCCATAGAAGCATTCCAAAACTGAAATTTATAAATATAATAAGAACAATAATGATATATCTAAAAGAGAAATTTTAGGATATACGAGATTTATACCTAAACATCTCACATTTATGATCATATCGTCTATTAAGATTATATCGTTTTTTTGAATCATTACACATTTTTTCAGGTGCTAACCATCTAATTATATCCAATATACTCTTTACTTCCAAAGATTTCTCATGTTCAGTATGACTAAGTTCAAAATTTGAAATTCTAGGTTCATATCCACCTGTAATCTAAAGATTTATAAATGTAAATACTGTAAATAAATTATATAAATAGTAACAAAAATTATAACTTACCAAAATATTTTCACAACGAATATCATGATGTAAAATATTACATCTTTGAATAAATAAAAGACCATTACATATATCACGAGCGATTTTTAATTTGGTTGGCCAATCAATTTCATTATACGTATATAATTTTTTCAAATTTCCATTTGGTGCCCAGTCAAATACCATAACATTACTATTATCTACTATTGAAAGACCATGAAAAGCAATAATATATGGACAATAACCTAACCTAAGAAGAATGGCCAACTCATGTTGACCTATTTGAGATCGTACAGTTTCATTATTCTCGATAACAATAATTTTTTTGCACACAACTTCAACCCCTTTGTAAACTCTTTTAATGAAATTTTTTCCAGATTCTTTACTAAGAGGATAAGGTTCAAGGTCCGCTGGATCTATATTAGGTGCTTCATAAGCTTTGTTCAATATTAATTTTGCGGTATCTGCTGTACCAGTGTGTCCACCTTCTGTTTTAGTGATTTGTTTAGTCAATTCACTTATGTTTGTTGATAATTGTGTTAACTCCTTCATTACTATTTTAACATCAGACTTTAATTCTCCCATATTCTATTTCCAATATGTCAAGTTAATGGTGGTTTATAAGTAAAATTTACAGAATAATAATAATAATTTAAATTTACCTTAATTATAATATTTATATCTTCCATAACTTTTTTAGTTTCTATTTCTCTTCGTTCATTATTATAAATAGCCAATGTAAAATGTAAATCATTACAAACATCTTCAAAATCTTTAATATTCTTATCAAAAGTTTCTTTAACAGTCATTGCACTTAAATATTTTTGTAAACTTGATAATTGAGTAATTTCTTTAGCAAATTTTCTAATATTTTCTAAAACTGTAATAAATCTAACCCAAGCATAATAATAATTTTGATCACGAAATAATTTTTCATTTTCTAATTGTTGTCGTTGTAATGAATTTACAGCTTGTTGAGCAATTTCAACTCTATCAATTAAAGCTAAACAAATTTTTTGATTACATTTTGCTGTTTCATTTGCTAATAATAATGCTTTAACAACTTCTGTAACTTGTGTAAAAAATGGAATAAATGGTTGAATTGCATCACCAGCTGTTTGAACTATATTAAAAGCTTGATGTGTTACTTCTTGTTGAATATTAAATTTTCCATCATATTCTCCAACTAAATTTATTTTAAAATCTTTATCTTTAACTTCATTAATTTTATCAGGTTTATTTTGTTCCTCAGATTTATTTGACATAATTCGTGTGAGCAAGTATCAAAAAAATTAATGGAGTGTTTTGAATCTCCGTATTTATAAATAAGTGCATAGTATTACCAATACACAAATTTATTAACAAAGTAATGATTCCTAATTAGATTATCGGAGTTATACGTATGTACGTACTGTACGTTATTGAATAGTTAACCAAATCAAAATTCCTACGTATTTCTTGAGCAAAATTTTTAACGCACCACTAGCATATATGAGGGTAGTAATTGAATATAACAACTAAGTCTAATAATTTAACCATTAATATGTCAAAATTCTACTTTTGCAAAAATGCGTTCATTAATATTGTGTAAGATGCAAGTGCAAACAAGACTCCGAACTATTCATGTAGGCAAGTATTACTAAATAAATACATAAAAATTATTAAAAAAAAGGTCAATCTTGGAGCAAAATTTGTGAAAATTTCGAGGATTCTACGGAAACTTTAAATTAAAACCTGCTAGATGTAACTTTTATACTCTCGTAAAATATTGTCTAATTATGACAATTTTTATAATTAGATAGCTGCGCGATGTCATCGCGCAAAAGAACGAATTTATTAATTTATTCTCACTCTCTAATTGTGAAATTTTCAATATCACTCTGTTCCTGCTATGATAATTTAGCTATAAGATTTTTTTCAGACTCTATGCAATCATATCAAGTCAGAAATAGGGATTTGGGTCAATAAAATTCAGGTCAGGTATTAACCTGTATCATGATTGGTTAGATGAGTTTGTTAATTAAAATTTTTACTGAACTCGCTTCTGAGAAAAGCTAATTAATTGTATGATATATTAATTGAATGATATAAATAAGATATAATTTCTATTCATTTTAATGATATTATTTTCGATAAAATAATCTTCAGAATTTATTTTTTATTGTTAATATTCGGAAACTAGGTATGATAGATAAAGTAGTAATGAAGTATACCATTGTCTGTACACTATCCCGAATTTAGATTCATATGAATGACTTATTATTTAGTTCATATAAATAAATTTCTGTATATATAGACTTTTATAAGATCAAAAATTTATTAGATGGTTAATAAGCCTAAATTTTTCACTATTTTCCAACAAATATAGTGATGGGACCCAAATAACTTGGGTCCCATCTATAGTATAAGAACCAATTATGCCTAGAAAGTAGCCCGGAACTTAAATTTTATATCAGGATAAATCTCAACTAGGGTTACTTAAAAACTCTATCTACTGCGATATACTTTAACTATATCTATACCTTTATCTTTTCTTAGGCTACTATTTTGGTCTATTTAAGAGTATCGTTCTAAACTTTTATTTTGTTTATCCTCCGAGCCCCAACTGCAAACTTTTGGCAACACTTATTCTTACCACTTATTACTATCGCCATGGCAATATTTATAAAAAAAAACAAATGATATAAAAAATAAGTTTATTTAAAAAGAATTTAGATAAATAAATATAAATGAAAAAAAAATAAATCTTTAAACTTAGAACTTCAAACTTGGTCCTATACATAATAACAAGTATAAATGATAAATTGTAGTCAGACCTCTAAATGTAACCCACCTAATGTAAAAAAAAAAAACCTCTTCGAATGCACAATAAATGCCTAGTTTTATATTCCTAATTCTCTAAATGCATACTATCCTATTGACCAACATATAATTAACTTCCACCTTAAAGAATTGCTAATAAGTAAAATTTTTTTTTTTTTTTTTTTTTTTTTTTTTTTTTTTTTTGTTTTAAACCCCGTTAGGGGGACGCCGAATGGCGTGCTTTATGTTAATAAGTAAATATTATTTGAACTTCCATCTTGGTCGTATTATTTATTAATATTTGTGATACTTGTTAAATCGCCAAATTGATTTAGTATATTTCGAAAAGGTATAAGTGACCATATAAAAGTTCTTTACAAATTTGTAAAGAAACTTTATATGGTCGTGAATTGGGGTTCTGCAAAATGCCAGGCATTGTGCCGAAAAATCATAGTGCCCGCGTGCCCAAGCACTATGTTTTTTTTTTGGGCACAATGCCTGGCATTTGCAGAACCCTAAATATACTAAACCAATTTAGTGATTTTAAAAATTTTTAAAGAACTTTTTATATGGTCACTTATACCTTTTTCGAGATATACTAAACCAATTTAGAGATTTAACAAGTATCACAAATGTCGTAAAGTCTACGGCTTTGTCAAAACTTCAAATAATATTGACTTATTATAGTAAAGATATTTTAGTAGAACTTATCAACAGAATTTAAATAATAACCCATCGGTGGAATTGAAAGTAAGTCGTAGATGGTATCGTATGTGTCTGTAAATGGGGGTTGGAATTGGGTTATTATTTGTGTTGGTGGTGTTAGTGGTGGCGGTGTTGGTGATAAAGGAGGTGATGACATAGATTGAGATAACGAAGGTGATAATATAGATTGAGATAACGAAGGTGATAACATAGATTGAGATAACGAAGATTGAGATAAAGAAGGTGATGACATAGATTGAGATAAAGGAGGTGATGACATAGATTGAGTAAACGAAGGTGATGACGGTAGGTTTTCATTAAATGAAGCTAACGAAAAAAAATTATTGGAAAGTAAAAAAAGCGGTTATTTAAAAATTTAGTTAAATATGCTAACTAGTAAAATAATAAAATTATTTACAGTTCAAGTTGGATTGTGAGAACGTGTCCCCTCCACCCTTTTGCTGCTCATTATGGAGACTCTTTTGTTCCTTTTTGAACCCTTTTCGTGGTCCTCTTCGAGAGCGAGGAAGAAAGATGCATTCAATGTCACGATTCTCGCACCGGGAGCATATTTTCGAACCAACTTTCATAGGGCATTTTGTCTTTTTGACCTGGCATTCCAGGCAGGCCTGAGTGTTACGATGCAGTCTTTTTTCATTTGGTTCTTTTTTATGCTTAGCCATAAAGTGCGATGTATTTAAATATACGTTATAAGTAATCGATGGGTGGAGGGCTTTCGAATAACTTTGTTAGCATACAGTTATAAGTATTGAGTTAATAACAGCTATGTATCGGTGAAGAGTTTGTGATCATAATGCCGAAACATAATGGGAATGAAACTGTATTTATATATAATTTCAGAATGGAGTAGGGACTGGAAACTGCTAGTAATTTACCCGGATAACTTTCTCAATGAGTACAATCACTAAAGGAGTGCAGCTACAGTAAGAAGACCTAAAAAGGAAATCTAAAAAGTCAAAAAGTTTTTGTGTTAATACATTGGATCGGGTTAGGGTTTGAGAATATAATAAGAATAATTAGTTTATATATGTAAAATTTTATTTCTATCATTCTTAATTAATACCATAAGATAGATTTAAACACTCATTGTTTATATTTTCGATTTTTTAGGTTTTCTTTACTCTGCGCCATCCGGATAAACTCGATTTGTGCTTTTGGATTGGCTAGTTTATTATATTATTTTTAGATTACATAAATAAGTACATCTTTCGGATGATCTGGAATAGCGGCGTAGTAAAGTTACCCTAAATTGCTTACTTGTACGTACGTAATATTTAATCTAAACCCTTTTTGAAAACA